GGGGGGGGGGGGGGTCCAGGACCCCCCTCCCCTCCGCCCCTGTGTGTTGGTTAATAAATATCAAGTTTATGACGAAATACCTCATCATTGATTTTCCTAGGAAAGTTATTGACTTGCTTTATTTTGTGTTTTGATTTGAATTTTTCATGCGATGTCTATGTCGGACAAAAACCAGACGATTTCCTTAACGTGGTGACTACCTGATTCCAATAATTAACTTGATCCTCTAGATTTAAGGAAAATAAAGAAAATCAAAAATAATGATTACACGAAAATCACATTGATGAAAATTATTCATTTTTGATGAATTTGATAAAATAACACTCTCTTCATTCCATAAAGATAGTCTAATTTTCCTTTTTCATATGTTCCAAATTAGTCTTATTTCTTATTTGAGTGTGTAGTTGATATATTAATTTTCTAACATGCCCCTATTTAATATGATTTGTTATCACAAATGTAAATCATTCCATTATTCAGTTGTAATTGGAACAATAAATTAAAAACCAAAAAATCATTTCATCTTCCATGACATTTATTCATTTGTATTTGTATTTACTTTGAAATGTTAATCGCCTTAATTCTTGCATTAAACAATGACTAGTACAAAGAATAGTATAATTATCTTAAATATTGATTGTATTAATGTAGGGATATATTAGGAAAAATGATAGGAAAATTTAGTATTTCAACTATATTAATCGAATCTTCTTAATTTATATGAAAAAAGAATTATGACTATTTTTATGAGACAATATCAACAACCACCACAATATTAATAGAGCTACTTTAACAAACTATGAAACTCGTGGCAGTTATCTTTTACCAAAAGCTTTGATTCCTTGTAGCCCATCATTTTCAAAATAGAGTTACTGGTTCCAATGTTATATATCTTGAAAGGATTAAACAAGTAAAGACAATGCAAGGTTGTAGCTTTTCCTACGTAAGACTGATTTTTAAATGACAGTTTTTAATTGTTAACAGTACATATACAACAAAAAATGGCAGAACAAAGGCAGAAAATCAGAAGCAGAAGAATAATATTAAGATGATAAATGAATAGCAAAAGTGTATTTGGTGACATGGTTTTGTGGCTGCAAAGGCACCTAGATACAAGCAGGCTACATCCCCGCCCCCCTGTGCACGCGCAGAGGCTACTACTCCAGCAGTGGCGGGCCCATGGGCATGAATGGTGAAAGAGGAATGGGAGTTTAGATTTACACATGCTCTGAAAAAGGCAGCTTGTTCCTTGTTGGAGCTAAATTCCAAAAACTACCCACTTAAAAGTCACCTTTTCCACTCCTCCTCCACTAACTGTTACTGGGTTATAGACAATTCCTCGACTCTGAGCTTTTGTAAAATAGGGGTCTTGTTTATGCAAAAAAGAGAAGTTGAGGGTTTTGATCATGAATCCTGGATCACAAACTAACATCTCCGACACATTTGCTGCCATTTGAGCATGCTTTTTTTAGCTTTCTGGGCATCCCACTCAAAGCAGCAGAACAGAAGAAAATGGAAATTGATACCTCTTAAATCTTGGCAGTGCAAAGAAAGAAATGAGTCAAAAGGACACTAAGGTTCCGTTTGGCACAATTGTTGTGAGTAGAGCTTTTAGCAATAGCACTAGATTTTTTATTTTTTTTTTATAGTTCATTTGAGAAGGAAGATTAATAAACATTTGAACAAGTTGACATAAATATGTTCTCGAGTCATTGACCCATTTGCATTGCCCACACATATGCCATAGATCCGTTGCACATACCCATGCGATGGATCTTCACAACTCGGCTTATTAGAACTTCCCGTCGTTTGAATTAGGGCTGGGACATGGGTCGGGTCGGGCTGGGCTGGGTTTGGCCCAAAATTGACCCAACCCGACATACTCGGTTTTGGGTTGTTTCACGACCCGACCCGGTTCGAATCGGGCCGGGTTGGGTCGGGTCCAATTTTTTTTTTTTTTTTTGTGACACTAATTGACTTAAATATAAATAATACTTTTATCATTTCAATAAGAAATTTTCAACAAAATGATATATGTCATTCATACAACACAATCAACTAAAATTGAAAATCACAAATTTTTACTAAGAATAGATTTATAATTTGAATTTTTTCACAAACAAAAATTAAAGCGTACATCCCAAATAATTATTTTCCTGCACGTTAATATCATACTAATAAAATCAAACACACTAAAAATTATCATTAATCGCGAAAAGTAAATACTAAAATATTACATTCAACCAACACTTAAAAATATACAGTAATCCAAATTTAATAAATAAAAAATAATAATATTAATATAAAATTCAAACTTATAAAAAATTAAACAATAAAGTGGAGTATTATAATCTTCGATTCTCGCATAGCTTTAAGTAGCATTCCTACAAAATAATATAAACGCTTAGAGAAAAATATTAATAATATAATGACAAAGCTAGTTAGTTATACATCTACTTGAAAAAAATCATAAATGCATGAATAACTTGAATTTAGCCTTCATTTGATTTTTCTGATTCCAAAAGCTCTACAAAAAAGAAGAAGATTAAATTAACAATAAATTATATAAAACACATTTATTTAACATAATTCATGGAATAACTATAATTATATTACCTTCGTCCAATTTTTTATATACTTCAACATCTTTCATATAAAATCTCTCCATTATTGAAAACTCTTTAAGCCAGTTTTGGGTACACGCCAAAACCTCCACCATTCTCGGGGTTAAAGAATTACGAAATGGATCAAGGATTCTTCCTCCAGTACTAAAAGCACTTTCTGAAGCCACTGTAGACACTTGAATTGCCATAACGTCTCTTGCAAGTTTGGACAAAGTACCGTATTTATTTCCATTAAGCCGCCACCAATTAAGAATATCAAAATCACTATCCTCTATATCTTCAAAAGCGTCCAACAAGTATCTATCAACATCATTTTTAAGTTCAACCAAATCTTTTGCTGCCCTTTTTCTCTTAAACCTAGAAACACGATTAAGAGAGGCCATTGAAGTAGGACTTCCTTTAGTAGAAGAAACTCCACTTGAAGAATTCATATCACTAGATACTTGATTGCTTTTAGAACTTGATTCACGTCTCACATACCAATCGTAAATAGACACCATATTGTCTTTCAAAATATTTGTCATATTACGAGCAATTTCCTTATCCTCATAAATATCACCAACAAAAATCAGCATACTCCAATTTATATCTTGGGTCAAGTACAGTAGCAATCAACAACAACTGATTAACATTTTCCATTTTTCCCCAATACTTGTCAAATTTTTTTTTTCATGTTAATAGCCATATCACTCAAAAGATAATCATCACTTTTACTCCATTCTTCCAATTCGCTTATAAGTGAACATATTTCATGAAGATAGACATTAGAGCTCACATGCAATGAAGTACTAAATTTCAAAGTTATTTCATAAAAGCCTTGGAGGAACTTCACAAAAACAGAAGCATTTTCCTAGTCAGAAGTTCTAGGAGGTCCACCCCTTCTTTTACAACCATCATACTCCTGAAAATAATTAAAATATTGCACATCATCTTCTTCTAACCTTTCAAATGCTTTTTGGAATTTTAAAGCGGCTTCCAACATCAAATATGTGGAATTCCACCTAGTTGGTACATCCAAAAACACAAGTGATTTACAATTAATTTTTTCTTGACTCGCACACTCCTGAAACTTTTGTTCTCTAGCAGGAGAAGATTTAACATATTTTACTGCATTGCAAATACTAATAATTGATGCATGTCTTCCTTCAATCCCTGACATACAATCAAGTTAACAATATGTGCACAACACCTCATGTGCAAATATTTTCCATCCAAAACACACCCATCCCTACTCCTACCAATCATCTTCCTCTTGAGATAAGAAATTGCAGTTTCATTTGCAGATGCATTGTCAACCGTGATTGTAAGCACTTTCTCAATACCCCATAAACGCAAACAATCAATACCTTTACCAATGGTTTCACCTTTATGATTAGCAATCACACAAAAGTTCTAAATCCATTTATGAAGCTTTCAATCAGAATCAACAAAGTGTGCAGTAAGAGACATATAGTTAACGTTTTAAATAGAACTCCAAGCATCAGTAGTAAGAGAGACTCTTTGACGTTAGATGATCTTTCTCAATTGCAATTTTTTATCCAAATACAATTGATAAATGTCTCTAACAATAGTCCTACGAGAAGGAGGATCAAAATTCGGACATGCTACTTGAACAAATTTTCTAAACCCTTGACCTTCGACAAAGCTAAAAGGTAGCTCATCAATTATTATCATCTTAGCACATGCAAGTCTACATTCTTCTTTATTGAAGCCAACAGCTATAAGATTGTTCCCATCACCCTCAGTTGGACTTTTTTGCCTTTTATCTTCTATCCTTCCTGGATACTTTTTACAATGAAGAACCAAATGATTCCTTAAGGTACTAGTTCCACACATCCTATCCCAACAAGCATAATCCTGCCAACAATAGT